TTGCTTCAGAGGATGGCAGGGACAGCGCCTGCGAGAACAAGCTCTGGTACGCGGTACTGACCTGGGTAAAGATCTTTCTCAATAAGCTTCATCTGGAGGTGGAAGATCTGCTCCTGGAGTTTACAAATGGTGTGTTTCATTTTCTCCCGTCTCGTCACCATGTAACAGAGATTTCTAACCTACAGAAACACAAGAAACAGCGTCCATTTTAGGCAGGGTCGAAGTGGGTCCCCTCAAGCTGTGTGGCTGCTTCTGCCGCCCAGGGAAATCCCCGCTCCCTGGGATTCGGTCCTCTTCATCTCACCATCATCCGTGCTGCACCAAAACTCCTACCAGGGCTCTTTGGATGCGCCAGGACTAGAGGGGAGGGCTCTCGATCCAAACCTGCCTAATATATCTGGGGAAAACCATGCAGTGAATGATTCAAAGCCTCAACGTCTCTGTTGCGGCTCCGACAGCCAGGACCCCATGCGGGGCAAGGAGGGCCGGCCGGCTTCTCCAGCGCGTGCACTGGGCGTACAGAAGGCGTAAGGAAGCGCGGTATCTCCAGAGATACGGCTTTGCTTACCCCAAGAGCACATCTCTCTTGCAGCACCAAGACTCCTTGCAAAGCCCCGCAGATACCTACCAACGCGCCTGGGGCACCCACCCCAAAACAGACCTTGGAAACCCCCACCCACAGCTCCAGCAGCCTCTGCCCCGGCACCGGGGAGAGCTCGGCCACCACCGCTCCCAGCGTTTGGGGCAGCAGCGAGCTGGGAGCGTCCTGCCCCGGGTCCCAAGCCCTTCCCACGCAGGGGACCACGCAGGATGCTGCACGGAGGGGACTCTCTCTTTCTCCCCCGTCTTCTTCTGAATGGAAACAATCAGCGAGTTAATCTTTACCTTCTCCCATCAAAGGCCTGAATTCACAGGCAGGGTTTGCACTTTGGCATCAGTGCTTTCGAGGGCAGTAATTCAGCCCGAATAACACAGCACGCAGGGAGTCCAGCGCGCTGCTAGTCTGCTCCGATTAGGCAGGATTAACTTGAGTACTTGTCGCAGCGCATCCTTTAATTCTGCTGTCGATACGCATCGGCGCAGAAAAGTGACCGAGACCCACGAGATGGGAACAGAGCCAGGAGAAACAGGTGAATCGTTTTGTGATCTTACCCAGGTTACGGCAATGGTGTGGGCACCCAGGCTGTTTTAATCTCCTGTTAATTGTTCACAGACCTAATGAAGAAGTTAATGTCTCTCAAGGATTTGGAAAGTCTCGGAAGGGAAGATACTGTCGAAGGAGCATTTTTATATAGTTACTGCGCCAGGGGAGGTTTAGGTTGGAAATTAGGAAAAATTTCTTTACGGAAAGGGTGGTCAAGCATTGGAACAGGCTGCCCAGAGAGGTGGGGGAGTCCCCAGCCCTGGGGGTGTTCAAAAAACGGGTAGATGAGGCACTTGGGGACATGGTTTAGTCTAGTCTACCCTCGATTGGTTTAGTGTGGGCTTGGTAGTGTAGGTTAATGGTTGGACTGGATGCTCTTAAAGGTCTTTTCCAACCTAAACGATTCGATGATTCTATGATTCTATGATTACGCAAGGGCCCAGCAGACACACAGAGCCCGGAGCATCCAAGCATCGTGCCGAGCGCTCAGCCCAGGCTGCGTCACGCACGTGCCCTGCTCACACCTGACACAGAAACCTGCACAAAGAAATGGCTCAATAGGCCAGTCTCCTCCACAAATTGCTCCTTTTGCAGGGAGGAGAGACCCTCTTCCCACAGCCAGTGCAGGGAGGAGGCACAGCTGGGACGGAGCTGCAGGTATGAGGCTACCGATCTGCTGAACGTCAGAGCCTTACAAACCTGCCTGCTGCCCTAAAGCAAATGCCAGGACACAGCATAGAAAATACAGCAGAATATTCAGGTGATGCTGGCCCAGGTCAGCACCCATGCACCGGTGCGGCTCCCTGGCCCCAAATCTGGCTAGCACCCTCCCCTCCGCGTGGTTACTCACGCTTGCTCCGCATCTCCCTGCAAATCACGGGTGTGTTTTGTCCCCGGCTCAAGAAATTTTATTAACCAAGCGCGAAGCCCTAAATGCAAACAGCAAAGCACAAGACATAAGTGCTCACGGGAGCTCGCGCGGCAGCGGTTAAACCCTGCTCGTCACACGGGGTTGCTGATAACTACCCCCAGCAGCCCCAGATGACAGAGGTACCGTGTTATGCCCGCCGGCATCTGCCTTGTGAGCAATTTCAGTGCCGCGCTTTTTGCCAGCCCCGCGTGAGGGTGGCTGGAGAGCAGGGCTCCGTCACCATGGCTGCGGCGGGCATCGCGGCTTTCGGAGGAAACGGAGGGTTTCAGCTGCGAAACAGAAAATGCTAATGGCAGCTAACAGGATTTGACAGCGGTTACTCAGCTTCCTGATGCTCTGAAAGAGCAAAACTGCCTGCAATAACGTGAGGCGGCGGCGGCCTGAACGGAGGCACGGGCAGGAACGCGCGTGGGTATGTCCACGCTCACGCATGACCCCGGCGTCTCCAATTCCTCCTCCTCCTTGTCCTTAAACCCCTCTCTGCGGAGGAAGGCTGGGGTATTTCCAGCCTCGGGGGACTGTCCCTAGATGGTTGGGAGACTTTGTGCCTCTCACAGTGACAGAGCAAGCCAGGACCTCGTCCCAGGCTTACCTGACGTCTGCCACCAAAGGCTGTGAAGGCAGCAGGACGACCGTGGCCATCCCCTAATGGCATCAGTCTTACCTAAGGACAATTTGGAAACACTTAGGAACACAGGAATTCATTTTCTGAATCCCCTAGCTGTAAATATAAAGCAGCGCGCTATATGCTGTATATTTTACGACGTTTTCCTGTTTTGTTCTGGATTGGAGAAAACATCAAAATAAAAATTTCTTTATGAGGAAAACAACTGCCTCTGGCAACCTGCATCTCAAAGTGTTTGGCGGTATCTCTTCTCTATGATTTGATGTTCCTGGAAGAAAACATTACTTGTGCTCTGCTTAGAGACTGCTGGTATTTACACACACTTCCACAGATAAACACCACTCAGCACTGCTTCCTCAAGCCAAGCTTAGATAGAAAAGCCTGGAAACTATAGTTTTTTTGTTAAAGCTAATTTAAACAACCAGTCCTTGGAAAAAGCTTCTAAAAAAAAAAAAAAAAAGGTGGCAAAAGAGGGTTAAAAAAGGCCGGAAAGAAAATGGGGGGACTGTCTTAGGATTCCCAGGCAATAGCTTTAATTTGCTGACACCGTGAAGTGCAGAAATGACGGTGGTAAAGAGACGGCAGAGGGAAACGCTGGCACCCTGGCTGCCCCCACGTCAGCCTCCCCAGCTCTTGGATCCAGACACCACTATCAGCCCCCAAATCACAACCATTCCTGCCGGATTAATTGCTGAAAACACTAAAATAGCCACGCGATGCCCCGCGGACACCCTCTGAAAGCCACCCCTCCAGGCTGCTCTTCTCAGACCCCTGTTTGATGTGATGCCTTGCTATCTGCAAACGAAACGGGGCGGCCGCGCGCGGCGCCGACAGCATGATCTGATGCACCGGCAGCCATGGGATTTCAACCTGCATCACCCGGCTGAGCGCTGGACTTTGATCCGACCAGTGTTTATTGTTCCCCGTCTTGGAAGAAGAGCAAACAAACAGCTCTTCCAGAGCCAGGCAGTGAAACCTGGCAGGGAGTTGCTAAGCAGAGGCTGAACGCCGATGGGGAATGACCCCACGAAGCCTGGAGGCAACCCTGGAAAACGAGAAATCTGGTAAAACCCGTAGTTTTGACACGAAGAAATCAAAGAGAAGCTGCCGTGCCACGTCTTTGAATTAGGCAGCTCGGGGAGCAAAGCGCTGTACCCAGAGATGCGCAGTGGTTCACTGCAGCTGGGAGAGGCAAGCTGGGAGCAAGTGGAAGCAGAGGGAGGTGGAGCAGCGTGGTTTAGATTTACAATATAGAGAAGCAGACGAGGGGAAAAAAGTGAGTTGAACTTGTTGCCCTCGGATCCGGCAGCTGCAGCCTGTTGCCTACAGCTTGGTGCGGAGCCCCATTAGCGGCGGCACCAGCCCGGCCCAACAGAGATGGAAACATGAGCAGTAAAGGCAGGAGCAAAGGAGGGAGAGACCGGCAGAGCGATGGCAATGACGTACGCAGGGATGAAGGCCAATACGGCCACAGAAAAGAGACCAAGAGCTTGAAATCCAATTGCTTTTACACAGAAGGGTCTTGGGTGAAGACCCACATAAGGACCTGCAGTGAGGGACCAGGACAGGCTGGGCCAGAGCTGAAACCCCGCCTGGACATGAACACCCTGCCCACCC